TGTTAGATTAAGCATGTCAGTTAACTGTATTTTGAAACACGAAAAAAAATAATGGACTTATCATATTATCTATCGAGCCATGAAAAAAAAATTGTCAATAAACTAGGGTTAGAGCCTATGACAGTTTGAGGCCACTGCTAGCAGATATTGTCTGCTTTCACGCCCTTAAAAGAAATGTTTTGTTTCTCTCTACAACCGATGTGGAATCTCATATGACTTTTCGAAGATATTTTTCTTACCTGGATTTAGAATTGTGATTTAAACTACTTATGAGAGTGAAGACTTTTTCAACATGTCAATACAGATTCTTGTACTATGTTTTTTTTTTGTCACTGACATGTTTCTTAAAAAAGATTCCGAGAGATCACCCAATAGAAATTGTTTCATTCCAAACACGCTCAACATTCGAGTTCTTATAGTTGAGTCACTGAAAAGAAATATGCATCTCTTTAAGCATTTCTTAACCATATTTTCATTTACTTGGGTCAGACTCATTTGGTTGTGATCACGGTTCATTTATACACTTCTCATCTATTCAAATGTCACACTTACAATATACATGAAAAGAATTAGTAATCAAATCTTTAGATGTAACTCCAATTAATCTTTCCTATTTCGAAAACTAGGAACGTTCCCCGTAAGCTTCTTAACCCGATCGGAAAAGATGAAGACGATCAATTCGACTCGTAACAAACGAACACAATCGAAGATGAACAATCTCGAACTTCTACTAAAAATTGAAACTTTGATGTGTCTTAAGAGCTGGCAGGCGTTGTGAAGCTCAAATATGCTTCATTCAGCTTTGTGGGTATGAATTGAATCAATTAGGGTTTCGTTTGATTACCCTTCTTTTTGTTTGACTTTAAACCCTACAAATTTACAAGGCGAATACCTAATTTTATACTCGGAAATACTCTCCAACTTCGGCGACCAAACTTGCCCTTTCGTCGACCCGACGAGCTGATCGTAATGCTTCTGCAACTCCGGCGTGCTACAAAGAAAGTTACCTCCACCGCTCTCGCCCGCTGTTGGAGAAATAAGCTGAACAAGAAACTCCGGTACGATCTTAATGACAATTCTTCCATTCGTGCCTCGAATGTACTCGAATGGACTTTGACCGGAGAATTTAGCATTTCCCGTGCCAATTGATGCGAGCGACGACGTTGAGAGAACGTCGAAGGAAGCAAATAAGTCGATCGGGAGAACAAAATAGGTTTCGCCCGCAAGGAGTTGGTCGTCGATGGCTAAGGAGGGAATCGGGTGGCCGATGAAGAAGGAATCAGCATGGCATATCATCATGTCCGGGAATTGGAACATGATCTCGCCGGCGATGTGGTGGTTTCCAGTGAGGGATTTTGTGACGCCGTTGGAGAAGATGAGATTGACGGCGGAGGAGCGGCGGCGGTGGGTGGTGGAAATGGCATGAAGACATGGAGAGAGAGAATTTCCCATTGTAATTATGAAATTGGAGATTAGAAAGAAAGATGAAGAAGGTTGAGAAAGAGGAGGATTTTATAGTGATTGGAGATTGACTTGGAAAAAGTCAAAAGGGTGTTTTTTTCTTAAGATGTCGGTGGTCAGAGATGTCGGCAATGAAAATCATATAGGTATGGGTAGGTATTTATATTAAAGTTATATTAATTACGAGACTTTAGTACATAAAAAACGCTTTAAAACTTTAATGTTGAAATTTACTAAACTTTGAGAAATAGCTACGAACGGTTGTTGGTTGGAGACCAAAATGTGTTCAAAATCTTAACCTCGAACCTCACGAGTGAAGGGTGTTTCAATTTGCAATCAGGATCAAACTCGAAGGCCATCCGACCACCCAAAACATGTCATAATCGAAATGGGTAGTGATTATTAATATGAGAATGTTACTACTTCATCGTTCACACGTTGTCGTGAAGCTGTCAATCGAACGTTGTCGTGAAGTTGTGAATCAAGAACAAGATGCTCGAAAAGAAGAAGGTAGCCTTCTACAGTATTACCAAAAAAGTCTTAGAATATATATCATAAAATTTCGTAATTAATGATTTATTTTTTTATAATTAAATATAATTTTGATAATTTTATTTAAAATATATCCATTTTCGTTATATAAAAAATTCGAAGTTATTAATTTAATTTTAAATAATATGAATTGACGTACGAGACAATTATATTATTTGTCAATGGTTGTCAATAGTTAATTAAAAAAATATATTCATTTCATTGATTATAATAATCATAAAAATAAACTATTCTTTTACTCCATATTAAATATTTAAATGTCGTTGCTCTTAACAAACATGTCTGAAGTTTATTTTTTTTAATAAATTTAAGCACGTGTTAAATACGACAATAATTGAAATTTTAGACCTCTTTATTTATTTTTAGTATTTTTTATGTACTCAAAACCAATAGTTTCGTTTTTTATAATTTTTTAATTATTTTAAACTAAGTTGATTTAATCAAATTCAAATGTTTCGAGAAAATTCATTAACTTAAAACTTATCCGTTCCCATTTCAATTTTTCGTAAAATAGGTCTATGAATTTTTACTGTTCAATATTACTGAGTTGTTTTTAACTTGATTTTGATTATCTAATAAATCACTTAAATAAAAATAGATTTAGAAGCGAATGAGGTAATTTTAATTAATCATGATAATCATGAAAAAAAAAATATAAATATTAAAGGATAGAAGAACTATAAAACAATTTAAATTAATTTTTTTTTTCTTTTATTAGTTTAGATGTGATGATTTGAAAATGCTACAAATTTCAATACTTATAAATTGTTAAGTTTTTTTTTTTTTTTTAATTTTTTATTATTGCGTGTGTGATACGTGTCTTTTGGGTGACAGGTATTTGACATAACTAAGCTATCAAAAACTGAACCGACATTTTTTAAATATAAATTTTGAATTAACAAATTACATGATTCGATTACCATGCTGTGATGAAGAAAAGTATTATTTCAACTCAACACCGCTATCATTAGTTGCCGAAGTTACGGTGGCCACCACCTGATCTCATCGAGCCCAATATTGTTTTTATTTTTTTCATTTATTTTTAGTACAAAATATTAAATATTTACATTTCCTATATAATTTTCCATCTTTAAAATAAAGAAATTATATTAAAAGATTTTAGATTCATTCAATTATATTTCAAAATAAATTTGTTTAGTTTGATTGTTTTATATGGAATAAAATTTTTGACATATTTAAAAACTATTTAATCTTTTAAATATAAATATTAAAAATTTTAATTCAAAATGAATTTGGATGAATGTGAAATAGTTAATAAAATTTTAATAATTCCTAAAAATTTATTTTATATCTAATAAATTTGATTAATTAAAAATAAATATTAAAAATTTCAAGTAAATTACTTATTAAATATAAATTAAATTGAAAATTTAGGGGTATATTAGATAAAAAAATATTTAAATTTTATAAAATTCTTTTTAAAGTTTAAACTTGAATTAGATATAAAATTAATAATTTAAAATATTAATTTCTTTAAATATTACCTATGGAAATTGACATCAATCGTCGTCGGTGCTCGTGATGGTCGACATCTCAAGCTCTGTTAGTGTTCTTTAAATTTTCTTTTTAACGTTTGAACTTTTAATTTCGCCTTGATAATTTTAGCCTTAATCATAGTAATTTCAACGTGCATTAATTTTTACTAATTAGAAAATAATTTTTAAAATATATATTAAAATTGAATTATACATCTTATGAAAATATATATATTTTAGAACATTGTTGTAACTTTTATTTATTTATTAAATAATAAAAATGAATATTTTTAAATGAAAAAAAAAAATGTTAACTTCACAGCGTGTCTGTCACGTAGGAGATATGTAACCATCGGTGACGGTTTAATATCCTTCTTTATAGATATTAAAATGGTTGACTTTGACCACGTCATAATTCTCAATTTCTTTATAAATTATTAAAAAAAAAGTTCCAAATATTATAATTAAATTATTTTATCATTACTTTTAAAAATTGAAAACCATATTTTTTAAAAATCATTTAACATAATATTAAATCCAATCTCTAAATATATATATATATTTTCAATAAAAGGTTAGTTAAGATGGCTTTTTCTCCACGTTTTAAATACAACAATTCTGCACGTTTTAAATGCAACAATTCTAAGGCCTTTTCCCCACGTTTTAAATGCACCCATTCTACTAAAGTTTGGCATTTCATAATATGATATATATATATATATGAAGTTCAAATGCAACTTGTTTAATTTCATCATTCAAGGTTTAATAGTAATATTATTTGACATATGATGATCTTAAAATCCTCCATATCGATATCTTAGGAGGTTGCCTAAATTGCATCAAGTTAAGTACGTTTAACTTTGGAGCTCATATAATTGAGTCACGGAAAAGAAATGCGCTCACATTATTTTGAGTATTTCTTAACCATTATATCTTGAGGATCAATTTTACTCACATGTAGTAATGCTTCATACCTAGGACGATAGGACATCCTATAAAATTTAAATGCTAAGAAGATTAGCATAATCCATGTGCATGCGAAGTGAGATCATAATCAACCACTTTCTTACAACTTTTAAACCCTTAAAAAAACCTACATTTTTTTCCATAGTTTTTCTCGTTAGTTTTCAATATCAAGCTTAGTCTAAAAAACTCAAATCATTATTGTACATGTCTTTTCATTTGTTTTATAATAAATAATAGGCTATGATAACGTGCATTGCTTGTCATTAAAGGACATTTGTCATCTTAACCTATGACACGGTCAAGGTCAAGGTTTAATATCAATCAATGTTTGCACAATAAACGTTCGTCATTAAAGATCGATTTGGAATGAGATCGTGTTCATAACTTTATTATTTTTACACAACGAACTCAAGTTGATAAAATATGTAATCCAATAAGGAAATTAACAATAATAATGTATCAAATAATGTCAAATCTCTAACAGCTATCCTACAGTGGAAAAGGAAAAGTGACTTGGAGAAGATAGAGAGCCCAAAATCAATGGCATCAAGAGAAATACAAGTGCAAAAAAGTGCTTACAAAACAGCTCTTCAATATATTTCTTGTTGAAGCATTGCCCATTTTGTATTCCTACAGAGAGATCAAGTTGCCATCACAAACCAGCCAAGGAGCCTGAAATATTGGGGTCTGCGTCATTTTCCCATGTCATGAATCATGCAGCCTGCCTTTCAAATGTGTCAAAAAGGGCTGTTTTGGAAGCATTTCGAATTCCTTTTACAGTTTGGCAAAGAAGAAAAAATGTGCCCTAGTAGTCAAATAATTCATGTACGCCCACTCCAAACCTCATTTGGAGGTTCTAAGAGCTGACCTTGGAGTAGGCGTTACTTCGAGAACACATGCCTTAGCCAACGATCATGAGCACGGGTATCTGTGTTTGTAGAATTTTTTTCTAGTATAAAAATTGTAATGGTTTGAGCTCCCCACTAGTAGATATTGTCTTGAAGGGGGTAGACACGAGGTGGTGTGGCAGTAAGGATGCTAGGCCCTGAAGAAGAGTGGATTTGGTGGAGGTACCACATTGATCGAAGAAAGGGACGAGTGCCAACGAGGACGCTGGGCTCCGAAGAGGGGTGGATTGTGAGAATCCCACATTGGTTGGGGAGGAGAACGAAACACCCTTTGTAAGGGTGTAGACCTTTCCCTAGCAGACACGTTTTAAACACTTGAGGGGAAGCCCGAAAGAGAAAGTCCAAAGAGGACAATATCTGCTACAGTGGGCTTGAGCCGTTGCAAAAAATGATATAAGATTTTTTGAAATGCGTACCTTAATAAGCATGTCCTTATTGTCTCCATGTTCTAGATTTTTACAAAATGATGCGTGTCCTTACTGAACTTCAGTTCTCTATAATTGAAGAGACAACATCAATGTAAAAGCATCGGCACCGTGTTTTGGATCAGATATGAAGTATCCCTGCATGAAAGATTAAGTTGGTTCTGTATACATCGAGCTGAGCTAGAATGATGAATATATTCAGATAAATGCAGTAGCATACAGGAGTATGTCTAAATGCACACACAAGAGAGAAAAGAGACCTCTACCTTAATTGTATATATTCTGATGTGCATCCAATGAAACCCAAAACTAAAATCTATCATCAGGCACAAGTCCTCTTTGTAGCATTTCGTCGTGGAAACGAAACGCATCCTTCATATTGTCTTGGCTGACGTGACCATTTATCAGAGAAGAATAAGTGGCTCTGTCAGGATTTACACCATTCTCTATCATTTTCCTTAACACCTGCTCAGCCTCTAGCATTCTTCCTTTTGCACAGTATCCGTTCAAAATCAAATTGTACGTAATAACATCAAGTTTGAGCCCTTGCTTTTCCATCTCATTAATCATAACAAAGGCTTTTCCTAGGTTCTCGTCTTTTAAATATCCATCGATGAGGGTATTATATGAGATGCGATCGGGAATTATTCCATTTGATATCATTTTGCTCAAGCATTCATGGGCCTTCAGCATATCAGCAGACCGGCAGTAGCCCTTGATTAAAGTATTGTAAGTGACAAGATTCGGTTTGATACCCCGTTCAACCATCTGGTCACACAAATGCAATGCCTCGGATAAATAGCCTGAACTACAAAAACCATTTATTACAGTTCCGTAGGAAACGTGGTTAGGGACAATATCTTTCCTGATCATATCATCCCACAAGTCCTTGGCCCTTTTCATATCACCTACTTTGCAAAAGCCATCAATCAACGTGTTGTATGTCACGATGTCTGGCTTGAGGTTTGTGCGAACCATTGTTCCAAACAAATTCAGCGCTCGATCCATATTTCCATCCTTGCAATATCCATGAATGAGTGTGGTGAAAGTATAAAAGTCCGGAAACACACCCCTTTCAACCATTTCATTGAATAGCATATCTGCATCAACAAGCATCTTCTTCTTACATAACCCATTCAAAATAGTATTATATGCAACCACATCCACAACACAACCCTGAGCAAGCATCTCATCCCGCATTTTCAAAGCATCTGAAATCGCACCGTTTCGACAAAACCCATCAATAAGAATAGTATAAATTACATTATCAGGTACGAGACCAATATTTTTCATATCTCTAAAATACGTAAGAGCCAAATCAAGATTCCCATTCCTTGCAAGCACACTAATCAGAGAACTAAAACTAATCAAATCAGGAAGAACACCATGACGTGACATTTCATCAAATATCTCTTCAGCTTCTGAAATATTATCTCGTCGACAAATCTCAACCAGCAATGTGTTATATGTAGCGGCATCAGGCTTTAACCCAAGTTGCGACATCTGATTCAAAACGTCCTTTGCCCTGTTATACTTACGTATCTTACATAGGCCATTTATGATAGCATTATAAGTTAGAAGGCCTGGTTCCATACCCTTACTAGAGATTGAATTCAACAGTTCAAAGGCTTCTTCAACAAACCCTTCACGACAGTAAGCACTAATTAGAGTATTATATGTCACAATGTCAGGAAAAACTCCTTTCTTTTCCATATCTGATAAGAACAAATTCACATTTGCAATTCTGCCATCTTTACACAGAGCATTGACCATTATGTTCAGTGTATAAACATTCAACTCAGTGCCCCCTCTCACAACTTCCCCAAATATTTCCCAAGCTAAATCCACCCAGCCAATCTTCACAAGACCACCAAGGAGACTATTACAAGCATTTATAGAAACAGAAACTCCTTTGCTTTTCAAAATTCGAAATGCTTCAGATCCTTCCCTTAACTTTCTAGCTTGCACATAAGTCCTTACTAACAAATCAGAAACCAAACCAATCGACCCAAAATTACCACACGTTGAAACTATAGATTCAACGACCTCAACTCGTGAGACGCCACTCTTCCTCACCATCCTAAGAATGCAAGCTTGGGCTTCTGAGAGCCTCCTGCCGCGCACTAAAAAATGAACCATTGCACTCAAAGAAATTGACGAGTGCTTCAAATTCGGGCAACTAGAAGAAACTAAATCAATAAATTTTAATCCCAAATGTAAATTTTCACGACATCCATACAGAACTTCAACTAAAGCTGAGGGATTCAGGCGGAAAAGAGAATTGGACAAAGAACTTACATTATTTTGCTTCAAGCTGAACAAAATCTTTTCCACTAGAAACGAATTCGAGGCAGAAACTGAAGAAGAAACAGGATCGTGATTAGAAGATCCTGAAGCTTCATCATGAATAGAATGAAATTTGGGGAGCGAATAGATCAAGTGAAATGTGAAAGAGATGGAATTAGCACGAAGTAAAGGCGTTGCATATGTGAAAGTTGATGCGAGAATTCTGGTTCTGAAAGTAGGTTTCGGGAGAGGAAGTCGATGAGCAGCCATTGGGGGACAGCTCGAGCTCCTCATCCATGGAGAATCTCAGGAAGTGTGCTACCAAAGGGAAGAAGCGACATCGGAACGGTGCAGTTTTTAAAAATATAAAGTTTAATAATATTTTATTATTATTAATTAAGCAAAAAAAAAAAAAAAAAAAAGTTATTTGTTTCCCATTTTGCCCCCGTCAAACTTGTTAAGGGCATTTAACCCAATCATCCTCTAATCTGAGCTCTGTTGATGAGACACCATTTCTGCTTTACTTTTTATTCCGAATTTTTGATTCACAGTCTCTCGACCGCACTGCCATTGGTTCTCTTCTCCAGTTTCGTGGAATTGGATTTGGATAATCTGTTTTCTTTGCTTGTTTCTCCCACATTGTTTCTTGTTTTCTTGCTCAGAAGATTTTTCGAGCTCCACGACGATTTCACCATCTGATTGCGTGAAGTTTCGTCGCATTTTTCGGTCAATTGGCGTTTGCAGAACGATTAAAGCAAAGGGAGCAGCTGGTTTTTGGATATGCTTTAGTGCAAGCCTCAACAGTCTTCACCGTGTTAGTTTCGTCTCTTGCTTCAGTGTAGCGAGCTAGTGCAGTCAATTTTGCTTCTAGCTGGACGAACTTCACGCGGACTGAGGGAGTGGTGGTTGTGATTGTTGGTTGATGGAGTTTTAGCTTAGTTTCAGTGTGTGGATTTGAGAGGTCTTGTCGGAGAGTGATCGAGTGACTGAACGGGTTCATGAATGGAAGGTTTTCGTTTCGAAAATGGATGAGCTATTAGAGATTGATTAGTGCTGAGATTTAGAAATTTTCAAAGGGACGGCATTTTCTTGTCTAGGATGGATAGGATGGCTCAGGATCTTAGTAGGACTGGCGCCGGCGAGAGAGATGTCGAGCAGGTACTTTTTCACATCTTCAGTCCTTTTGTTATGTTTCCACGCAATCATATGTTTATTTCGAGATTCAGAAAAAGAAAAAGAAAAATAACGTATATTGTGTGCTTCAATCGTGATCTTGAGCTTATTTTGCTATCTATTGCATCCTGGTTTTTACCTTTTCCGCTAGTTCTATCAAGTGATAATCTTGCATCAGAATGTGATCAAAGGGATTTGGTTGGGTGTGTATGCATATCTAGGAAGCATGAGGGTGTGTTTATCCTGAACTCTTGTAATCCTTTTTTGAAGTTCTATTTTAGTCTCTAACATTACTAAAAGTAGGTAGGGTTAGATTTATCCTAAATACTATTTTACAATCTTAGCATTCTCTTGAGCATTTGGAAGATCTTTTGCAATATTATGGCTTGGGGTTCTTCCTTTTCCCTTCTGTTGTAAATTCATTCGTCAACGAATTTATCATTTCTCTATAAAGCAAAAGTGTTATGAAGAGAATTTTGACATCACTAACGGGTTAGTGCCCATGGTACGAAGTAGAAATACCGAGGGCCGTTACGTGGGACAGAAAAAGATAATCAGTTCTTATTGGTTTGGAGTATCATAAGCCCTCAGTCTTGATTGTTTAAATTCTGCGGAGGGATGAAGAATAGTATTATTGAGATTAGATGGAGAATAGTATTATTGCGATTTTCTTGTGGGTTGAGGTAAGGTCCACATCTATCATCTTTGATTTTGTAAAGACATCTTGCTCTTCTTGGTCCAACTCTATAATACAACTGCCAAGTGTTTAAATTGGTGAAGGAGTTGGCTTCAGTGTTCAAACTCAGGATTAACCTTCTTGTTAAAGGAATGACCTTAATTTAAGGAATATCGGGTAACTCCCAGCTTTAATTTAAGGAATATTTTTGTAATCCCATTAAATAGTTACCTAGTGTTTAGGAATTTATTTTTCTTGTACTTTTACCTAGTATCTAAGTATTTAATTAGATTTATTTTATGTATTGTTTCCTAGTATCTAGGGATTTAGTTAGTTTTTCTATAGTATGAAATATACAAAGACACATATCTTTCTAGAAATTAATAAAAAAGTGAGTAAGATAATTTTCACTTACAATATGGTATCAGAGTCATTCTATTATTAGAGGTCTAATTAATCAATATAGCATTTATAGTTACCAATCTTCTACCTTGACCGAAATTTATTCAGAGTATTCATAGCTACCGATCTTCCACTTTGAGCCCCACTCGTGGAAGTCAACAATCCCATTTTTGCTCGACAACCCATTTTCCAATGTGAGAATGTATATATATTTTTTCTTTTGTAGAATACTTGAAGGAAGGGAGACCACCTATTGGCCTTTTTTTCTTGGCTCATTTCAAGCCCATTTTTTGCCCAATAACAAATCCGAAGCAAGGAAAATGTATGAGCGGCATTGGCTCGAGCCCACTATTTTTCCATTTTTATTCACTAAAGTTTTCTGTTCAGCATTTGCTTGAAGAGGAGGGCCCATTTTTCTTTGAGAGATAGTCATGTCAGGAGAATCAAAATTTTTGTCACTAGTAGAAGAAATTCCTATAGACAAATGTGATAATGAATCACTCTAAGGGAAAGTAAGATTCTGATTACCTTGTTGATCAAATATCTCAAGGCAAGAACATTTGATTGAGATCTGAATTACTCCACAAGCAAGATCAATTATGTCAAGCTTGAAAGATTTTACACTTGCAATCTAAACTACATAAAATTGCAAAGAAATGTAGCCCTTGGCTAAAGGAAAGCAAAAATGCTCTTTTTACTACATTTTTCAAGTCTCCTTTGCGAAGATAACATACATGGCTTTATATAGCCTCAAAATGAAACCCTTTACCTTCCATGAGTCATTTCAAGAGTTTGTAACCTTCATAACCATAATTAGCCTTATGTAAATGTAACCTAAAAATAAATAAAAATTTTTAAAACTTAATATACATTAACAAAACACCATAAATCTAGATTTTAATCATCCATCATAAACTTTTAATCATCTAAGAATAAGTGAAGCCATATTTGAAGTATCTTGAAGCCCTTGTTGCATAATTGAGACTTGATTCTTCTTAATGTGTAATTGATTGCAACTTGAGTTCAACTTTAATAGAACTTGACTTTATCTTGTGGTAATTTGAACAACATTATTCACAACTTCCTTCAAGTTTATTGTATGATTGATATGCAATCAATTATATCACAATGTCCGAAGAAAGATGATATTCAACCCATTCGATTTTCATATTGACTCAATAGAGAAAAAGAAAATCTTAAATGGTCTTAAATTGTGTGGACATACCTTTAAGGAAATGAAATTTTTTGACATTTCATTGGACCAAGACCAGCAAAGATGTACCCAGGATTTGTTGCATGGGATGAGAATGACTCCACACGAATGTTATGGCTTGATCAAGTTCATCTACAAATCATTGAAGAAGAGGAAACAAGATCTCTAGAAGAAACTGCTTTCCTACTTGGGCAAATGAAGTCTTTTGCTTGATGAACGACCTAGTTTAGATGCATCGACCTAAAGAAAGAAACAATAGAAGAGACAACCAATGGAAGAGTAATAAAGACAATTTATGGTGTACTCACGGCAAGAAACTATGACACATGAATGAGAGTTGTTGGAAGTTGAACGGAAAACCTCTGGCCGTGAATGGGAAAAACGGGGAGGCTCATAGAATCATGGTTGGAGAAACAAGGAAGAAATGTTGAATGCACGAGCTTACATTGCAGAGGAACCAATTCAGAATAGAAATCATCAATCGTGAGGCACACAAAATCATGGTTGGAGGAACTAGGGAGAAATTTCAAAGGAACGGACCTACGCCAAAGAGGAATCTAAATGAGAACAAAAGTCACCAATCGTAGAAACTAGTGGATTCTATAATGAAGCGATTGAGAGATTGAGGGTGTTTTTGGACTCTCTCAACAAGCCATCAAATTCTAGTGTTTTGACAATCTCAAGTAAGTCTTCATTCATCTTTTGTATAAATCCTTTGAGATAGTTAGATTAACTTTTGGATTATAGACTTTGGTGCAACTGATCACATGACCCTCACTCACAATGTTTAAAACATATAAACCTTGTTTGAGGAATAAAAAAATTGCAGGCAAATGGAATTAGTGCAACTGTTGCAAGAATAGGCGATGTATCTTTCTCTCAAACCCTTACACTAAAACATGTCCTACATGTTTCAAAACTATCTAATAGTCTCATTTCTATTCAACAACTTACTCACTGATGCCATTGTAGTGTTCTTTCTACTCGTCATGTTGTGTTTTTGAGGACCAGGTCTCGAGACGGTAGATTGGACTTTCTAAGGAATTGAAGGACCTATACTACTTGCAACTACCTAAGAAAACATTAAGTCATTTCCTTGTTCAGTTCTTAGTTCCTCAAATAAAGATGCGATTTGGTTACATCACCTTCACATGGGTCGTCTCTCATTTAGAGTCTTGAAAATTATGTTTCCAGAATTGTTTCAAGGATTTCAAGGTTTTGAGTTTCATTGTGATATAATGTGAAATTTCCAAACATACACGTGTATCGTTTTCTATCAATTAAAATAAAAGATCTACGCCTTTTCATTTAATTCATAGTGATATATGGGGACCCTCAACTGTTACAAGCCATTCCACCGGTGCCCATTGGTTTCTCACATTAATTGACAATTTTGTGAGCCCCATGATTGGTGCTTGTGTAGCTACATTAGCGTATTAGCGTACTTTTTATTATTTCATTCACATCAATGACATTGTCTCTTATCTAAAAATAGAACTTTACTTATGGTGCTTCCATTATTAAATCTTTGACTTTTTCCTTTATCTTTGTGTTTATAGTTTTCGTACTCTTTATTATACATTAAGTAGGTGGACGAGAAGAGCTAGTGCCATGCTTGAACATATCAATATCTTTTCCATATTAATGTGAAAGCCCATTTCTACGCTTTGCTTGGTTGATCTAATTCTGGTTATTTATTTATTTATTTATTTATTTTAATTCCTATGTAGACAAGCACACAAACACTTTATGATAGATTCCCCGAGCTTTATGTTAGCCTTGTAAGTCTAATTCTGTAATCATGCTGAGTACAGTATTTCTGCCTCTTCATCATTCTTATCATAGGCCATTACTGCTTTGAAGAAAGGAGCCTATTTGCTCA